TTATTGTACGAAATCTTAAAAAAAGGGAATCTACTAAATCGGCTTGCTTTTGATAATTGATTCCTTCTACTTTAGTTTGACTCCTGGCTTGGTTTCGTAATACGAGTTTTGTGTAACCTGTGCGTTTTTGTTTTTGTCATCATGATCGTTTATCTTGTAGCATAAAGTTTAAGTTATGTTTCGGTTGCACGATAAAAAAAAATTAAAGTCCTCCGAAGCCAGTTGTGCTAGTAGGAGTCCTTTGAATAATGGCAAAAGATGTATTAATATTGCTGTTGCTACGTCATAAAGTAAGCCACGTACTGTCCCATACTTTTTCTAGGCAGATGTGATATTTCAGATTGTGATGCTTGTTGTATTCGATAAGGGATTGGAGTGGTTGTCGGATCATTTGTATATTGACTTATGTTGTTCTGTCTTTGTTTCTTCTGCCGAAGAGAGTGATGGCATCTTATTTTACCCAAACCTTCATGACTTCTAGCCTCAGAGTAGAGGAAGGTGTCATCAAGATTTTTATAGATGGACGATAATGAACTGAGAGGGTTTAAAACGCTTCTCTCATTTTCCTCTTCTGTCCCTGTTACTGTGCCTCTCATTATATTGGAAGCTGATTTTTTTTTTTAAAAAAAAAATTCTTCGCTTTTAAGACATTCTTGAAGTTTCTTGCCGTCTAGTTTGAAGCTCTACCGCGAAACAGGGAATACTTTCTAATAAATGTCCATATCGAAAAGATTTTATTTTACTTCTGACAAATCGGCTCCACCCATCAACGATTGTAATCTTTAAGTGTGATATATATATATATATATATATATATATATATATATATATATATATATATATATATATATATATATATATATATATATATATATATATATATATATATATATATATATATATATATATATATATATATATATATATATATATATATATATATATATATATATATATATATATATGGGATAAGAAGGTAAATGATATACCGGTTGTTCTTACCTACACATGAGTTCAATGCTTTTGAGGAACTAAATTTAATGTTATTCCATCTATAAGATCCAAGGTATAAGTGTGATGTCATTGCATAAAGATTTGTCGTTTGTATCTTCTCCTCAACACAATTTTTTAACTAAGTCTAATTAATTAGCAGCCACATTTTAAACAACGCTCCGATAAGCATGGGTAGAAATGCTCCTACTTGAGCTAATACCTTTTATGGACATTTTGAATTTATCATTTAGTGAAGAACGTGAATGTTTTACTAATAGTCGTTTCGGTGTTTTTGTGAAAAGGACCGTTTATTTCAAGACTTTTGAAGCTATGTTCACATAACTGATCTCTTTCGGTGTTTTGTTTTGTTCATGTAATTTAATTATTTGCTTGTTAGTTGTAATTTTTTAAATTTTATTCCACTACATGTTATTGTAATGGTAATTTTGTCTACTGGATTTTATTTATTTTTAGAAATTCAATTCAGTTCTGTTTGACCTGAAAAACAGCCAGTAATTTGAAGTCGTTTTAGAACAAGGTCAGGAGTAAACAACTTTTTATTATTTATTTCTAGAGTAAAAGTAATTTATTTTTATCTAAGGCTATACTGTAGTACGTACTTGAGACATGTGAAAACGTCTCCACGATATTCAGGAAGGTGGTCAAGTAATCTCATCTGGGAATCTGTATCATCGGGGTGTCATCGGGATTCGAACTGTGATTCACTTAAAACTTTTTATTGATATTACTTATATTTTCCCATTCTTGTATTAAGTTTTGGATTTGATTCATAAACCGTAAGTGCTTTAACTTATTTTCCCTTGCTTTTTAAGGAAAAGAAATCATTTGTTAAATTTTGCAGGTTTTTCTTAATCTGTTAAATTTTGCAGTTACAGTTTGAAAAAGGACATATATATATATATATATATATATATATATATATATATATATATATATATATATATATATATATATATATATATATATATATATATATACAGAGAGAGAGAGATGCAATTGGAAAAGAGAGAATGACAAATGCAGTTACAGAAAGAACAAATGAAGTTACAGGAAAAATGAGAGAGAGAGAGAGAGAGAGAGAGAGAGAGAGAGAGAGAGAGAGAGAGAGAGAGAGAGAGAGAGAGAGAGAGAGAGAGAGAGAGAGAGAACGGAAAAAAGAGAGAGAACGACAAATGCAGTTACAGAAAGATCGAATGAAGTTACAGGAAAAATAACAAGTGCAAGGAGAGAGAGAGAGAGAGAGAGAGAGAGAGAGAGAGAGAGAGAGAGAGAGAGAGAGAGAGAGAGAGAGAGAGAGATGCAATTGGAAAAGAGAGAATGACAAATGCAGTTACAGAAAGAACAAATGAAGTTACAGGAAAATGAGAGAGAGAGAGAGAGAGAGAGAGAGAGAGAGAGAGAGAGAGAGAGAGAGAGAGAGAGAGAGAGAGAGAGAGAGAGAGAGAGAGAGAGAGAGAGAGAATATCAATTTGCAATAAAAGAAATGGAGCTGGCAAGTAAAAAGCACATTCCCACTTCACTTACAAACTCAAGTTTTGATATTACAAAGAATGTTAGGCTGGTACCGTTTTTAGCGAGAAAGACGTAGACAAATATTTTCCTTATTTTGAAATAGTTGCTGAAAATTTTAAATGGCCCAGGGAGCATTAGACTCGATTTTTACAGTGTGTACTTTTTGGCAAAGCCCGGCATATCTTTGCATCCCGTCAGTACAGCAAAGTGCTGACTATGATCTGGTTAAGAAATGCATCTTGAAAAGCTAAGAGTTAGACCCTGAGGCTTATCGGCAAAAATTCAGGAACCATAAAAAGCTCGACAAAACTCGTGTCGAATTTGCAAGAGAAAGAGAACAGTTATTTGACAGATATTGCTTAATTCAGTTCTGTTTGACCTGATAAACATCCAATAGTTTGAAACATTTTACTTTTTAATGGCATAGATTCAGAACCAGTGTTAGGTTTGGAGTAAACAACCTTTTTATTATTCATTTCTAGACTAAAAATCATTTTAGCTAAGTATATACTACAATACGTGGCTTGAGACATGTGAAAACGTTTTTCTACAGGGTGGTCATGTGACTCATCCGGAAATCTCTTTTGCGTTTTAATTTACTATACAGTCGTTTTCAAAAAAAGAAATAGCCAGTTGTACTTTAAACCTTTGACTCTCAAAGGTGTTTTGTTGTGACTATTTGGAGTTGAATTTTTCTATTTTTTGGACTTAGCAATTTATGTTCCCATCTTTGCTGCAGCAGGAATCATTAGAGAAGAAGACGGTGTGTATGAGCGCGTTCGAGCTTGTCTGCCTATTTTTCATGAAGATATTAAAATCTTTGAATTTTCTTCTTCTTGAACCATATAGTGTGAACTGGCTAGACGTCTCTTTTTGTCTGGTTTGGATTTAGGTTATGTTGCTTTTTCAGCTTCCAAATATGGACCTCATCGTTGAAGCGACGTAATAATTACCCCAACTAGAAATCCGATTTCATCTAGTTTGAAGATATTTTTTAAATATCATTTGAATTGATGAAATGTACTTTATTGTTTTAAAATTGAAGATAGTTTTGTTACAAAATTACTGTGAATTAAACTGTGTAGTAATTGACGTGCTGTCAAAAGAAATCATCATTTGACTTTCTGTGAGATTGATAAAATAAAACATAGGAACTCAAATGTGTATTTTTAGCTACTTATGTCAGGTAAAGGTAGTAATGTTGAATACTGTCAGAAAGGAAATAAGTGAACAGTGTTTTAAAGAGGTAGTGTTTATGGTCGTTTTGCTTTTTGAAAGTTTCATTTCCTCTCCGTCTTATTTTAACTTATTCTGTGAAAATGTCGAGATATGGTTGAATATAGTGATCCCCTTCACGATGAATTCATTCTGTAAATGAAATGAATACTACGTGACTTTCTTTGAGTCACGTGTAAGTGGACTGCACCTCTTTCTAATGCAACACGATACGTTATAAAGGACAATCGACAAAAAATTTTTGTGTTTGATCCAACGTGTGACAAATTTGGTTTTGCCTCAACCACTTTATCTCTCAAATAGCATGTTAAATATATATCAAAGATACGGTGCGTCCAAGCTTTAGTAATATGACAATTAGTCAATCACTTTAAGAACAGAGGATGCAGCCATAAACCTCTAGATGCATTTAAAATTATGAGATTCATAAAACGACCCTAGACATCTTAAACAGAAACAGAAACATGATTAATTTGTTTCTTCATTGTTCAGTAGAATCTATAGAAATTTTAAAAAGAATAAAGATCATGATTTGCTTTCTTTCATTGGTCAGACACGACGTCTTTAACAAACGCAGCCACCTTCTGTGCCTAAACATTGCATCTAAAACGTTCATGGTTACGTACATCCTTCCGATAGTAACACTGTTGGTGTGTCCAACAGGTTATGCATATTGGGTCGAATGTTTTATTCACAAGAATGAAGAATCAAAATCCAGCCCTGTTCATAGCACTTTTAACACCGTGAGTTTTGTGTCCACATATAAATCTTGTTCAGTCATGTCTTTGTTTGTAATGTTCATATATTTGACGCAAAGAATCTGCCGGTAAACGGGATCCAAGAAATGCAGTCACTAAACACACATGCCATGTCTTGTGGAATCAATTCTTTTTATGGACCTTGGTAATCCACTTAGCCTTACAATTGTGGCATTCGCACCTTCCCACGGAATTTGATACAATACTGATCACAAAAGTTGTGGCATAGCAAACGTTATTACGTGCTCGAAGTTTGATTGTTTCGGATTTTAACGTAGTTTAAAAATAATTTCAGTCATATGACTACGATGTCTGCAGTGAAGCAGTTTAGAGTGATGTCTATCACGCCGCAGACATGTAGCATGATGTCCCACCCAGTCACATTATTCTGACACCAGGCCGACCAGTCCTAACACTAACCTCTTGATGCCTAGCGCCAAGCGAGGCAGCTGTTAGTGCCATTTATGAAAGTCTTTGGTATGACTCGGTCGGGATTCGAACCCTCGACCTCCCACATCTGAGGTGAACGCTCTAACCATTATGCTACCGGAGCGGTCCAAAAGAGTGGTAAATGAGCTCAAGCACTTCCAATGGAAGATTTTTAGCTTGCTTTTCAAAACGGTCAGTTTACAAAATTGTAGTTTGGAGCCACACATATTGTAGAAACTGTAGTATTGATAACCATTTATCCACTTAATGTTTTGTATTTTTCACAAGTATTCCCAATAATCAGCCTTCGTATACTATTCAGATAGCAACAGATTAAAAATATTGAGATCATCATACATCTGAGTTTAACTTAAGTCTGTACAAAGTAAAGGCAATTGTGTCCTCGCAGCTCCAAATATAAATTTGTGAACGTAATCATATAAACTAGTTATCTTAATTTTACTCCTACGCTGGTCAAACGTTAATTCGCAGGTGAGTTACATTCCTAATTCATTATTCATCGCACATCGTGATAGTCTCGTCTTGAAGAAACATTTCTATTACAAGCTGTTGTTAATTCTATGTCTTGAACATTTTCCTGCTCATCCGTCAATGAAATTCTATGTAGCACTCCAACATTTTAGGTAGAATTAATTGCATTCAAAATTTTACAAAGTATGGGTAGTTGGTCAATGTCTAAACGTTTATCTTCGATATTGGCATCCAGAAATATTGATTTGCACGCAGCTATCGATGTAAAATTTAAGTACTCGATCTAATCAAAAGTTACAAGACAGAATATCATTTTTCAAACAACCATTTGCTGCCACATAAACAGCAATGATCGCACTGCTAAAGTCGTAGACGAATGCAAACTAACTAAATTCAGCAAAATCAGATCTTCACGTATCATCTATATGTATATAATGAGTTTTCCTTTATTGTCAAAGTTCTTAAAGTATAAATTTGATCTACAGAATATTCGGTCATTGAGAATATCGGACTTTGAGCCAGTTTTTCCCTTAAACAATTCAGCAGGACATTAGTATACGATCGTCTTCCTTCGTTACATCCCACGCGTTTTATTGTGATGTCTTCTATGAATACGTCCCTTCTTTAAATTGATCTTTGTCCTCTGGACACTAGCATAGAAAGTCTCAAGTTTCAAAGTTTTAATTCTAAAACTCGTTAACGTAGGCTGGAGAAATCCCCTGATATAGTGAATGTAAGAATTCGAACGTGAGGTTAGCCACGTTCTTGTCGAAGTTCTTTGTTGATTATCGTGGCGACAAGATTTTCTTTGATTATAAACTTCAGCACACATACGACGGAAAGTCAAAATATCATTTCTTCCGTGACAATGGTGAGATGAGGTAGGATATAACAGGTTCGTCGGTGATATAAATTTATATTTGGTGAAACCTTTGTATTGTCTTATGTATTTTCCGTCAATGTATTCGCTCAAACATCTCAGGATGACCGGTGGAGAATAGAGCAGATTTTCACAAAAAAGGATTCAACGAACACATGTCAAATGTAATTTTATCTATTATCCTTGAGATGCGTCAACTGCATGTACCACCCATATATCATTCGTCCGTCCTCTAACAACAGATTTTTCAGTCTCATTGATAAAGAATAATGGGGGCATCTATAACAAAAATAACCATAAAATTTGTTACGATCTGCTATTTTCTAACCATCCACGGAATAAGATCCGACTTTTTTTCTCCACCGTTTCCAGCATGTTGTATCCACTTGTGTGTTTCACACAAACGATCCAAACAAAGCAAATCTTTGGTTGAATATCGTGGGATTACTGATTGATTTGAATGAAGTGGTATGATGACTAGTTAGTTCTCAAGCATGAACATCTTTCGGGTTACTATTCAACATGATCTGGTAATGATAGAAGCTTTCTTCTATGCACCAACACCAGCGTGATCCCTAAAAACTGTCAAAATTATTTAGAGTAACGTCGTAAAATGTCCAAATCGGACTGAGATAATTTCAACATTTGTTCTTGAAAAACAAAAGGGTCGGAAGAGACAGTTTGGTACCAAGCATAGAAAGTTTCTCGTTGTTCTATTTCGACACCGTTGGGGTTGTTGTAGTGAATTATAAAACAAATACTGGAGAGCGACATGTTGATTTGCTTTGGTGTTGAAATCGTGTAGAAAATAACATTTTGCTATTTCATCATTTCAAACGCTTTGCATTCTGCTCAAATGCATTGCCAAATAACTCATAAAATCTTCAAATTGTCGGCTTCCCACTTTATTGTTTATGATAGTGACTCTAGTCACTATGGTTGTTGTAAGTTTTGTTTTTTGTTCTTAAGATTATTTCAATGTAAACTGTCATGTTCCGAGAAATTGTGAGGTTTTGTTTAAATAACAGTAACGTATTTGATTATAGTTAAGCAAAGATGCATTTTTCTTCGTTCCACGTGTCGTCGCTGAGGTAAAAAAAAAAACACTCAGCAAAAACGCAATTAGTACGATAACGATTAGTAATATCCTTTTCCTTTCCGATAGAATCACGCTACAATTCCTACCGTGATGAAATGAAGGTTCCCGAATAACTTGTTATAAGCGCGATGCTACACACTAAAATCAGGAATGTAAATTCGAGTCTCTTGAGAACATTCAAAGTAATATAGAAAATGTCCACGCGATTATTTTTCTCGTTGTGGTCGTTATTAAGTACATCTTCATGTTAACTCTCATATTTTTGGAGACGGTACTAATGATCAGACTCAATGCACTTTGTCACAAATACAACACATCGTTTTTTTTTGGTAGACAAAAATGTGACTTCATGTTATGGGTACGAACATTATGTCCACAATAGGTGCACATTCTCGATAATTCCGAGAAACGTTTCTGTTGTTGAAATTATTTCATACGATGTCGTTCATATCATCCCGGACTAACGAATGTTTGCGAGTAGAGCACTTATTTCTTGGATTTCTGAGAATGCCAAAATAACCACGACATATCTATCCACAAAGAATATGGTATTCCCGACTATGAAAATCAGTTGTCATATTTTGTAGCAATTGTATCAGTATCCTTCAAATCCAGTGACCCTAATAATCATCGAACTGATTTGGCGATGATAACTGTGAATGCCGTTTCGGTCTGGAAAATGGGTTCTGGAAATACAAAATCTCCATAAATCAGCACGTCCTGAAGCATTTGGAACTCCACTCTCATGACCTATTTCTAAAACCTTCATTGTTTAAATTGAATTTTACTCTTCTCCATTGTTGTGATAAATATGATCCTGTATTTTTCTCCTATAATGATTTATAGTCTGGTGTATCGTTCTCCTTTGCACGAGTTCTAGCCACCACGATTATGATGGTTGGTAATCTAGAGATACTTCGTTTAGCACTAGGAAGCTGATTACCAGTGCAACTTTGTGCGTTCTCTACTGCCTTTTGGAGAGGAAGCGAGTGTCACAAAAAGAGTGGCTTTTGCATCGGCCATGTCAGATACACCATTCGATTGTAGTCCACGATTTTGGAAAAAGCTATTTCTGAAGGGTGTACTGGAAACCAGATCATTATAGGAGATTTAGGAGAGTCGTGGATTGGTCCAAATGATCTTGATCTTTAGCTTGGCACTGCCGTTTTGATCGTGGATATTGATTGTGCTAACTATGTAATGAAGACAGACGATTTCTCTGTCAGAACTAGAGAATCGAACTCTCCAAATTTGACCGTGTAAGTGTTAGTAGTCGATCTGATTGTTTTGGAAATCATTTTATGGGTAACACGAATGTAAACATAATCTTCAGGGGCTATCGAACGACTTTTTCATGAATGATCTTCACTTTTTTGATCTTGTAGAAGGAGCAGATAATGTTGGATCAAGATCGATCATGTTTTATTCAAAAGTAGATAGTGTGAACTTCTGACATTTTTTAAAGTGCTGGTTGACAAAGAATGTCGTCGCAACTGAGCTTCTGGTTCCTCTTTGGAAGGATATCATTATTTAATTTAGCTTGTTTGCTAATTTAAATTTGATTTGGCTAGCCTATCTCTTCTGATACAACTCAAAGACATCGCACATTAGTTTTCAATCTCACTAGATCTTCTAAAGAGAATAAACTTATTATATTTCAATCAGTGAAGATGGAAGACCCACATTATATCACACTTCTGGTCAGAGATTTACAGACTGAAGTTCAAACCCAAGCTTCAACACACTGTCTGGTCTCGAGAAGAAAAAGTTAGGATACTTACGATGTCTGTCAGGAGAATAGACATTGAGATTCACTACGTCCACAACGACAAAGAAAACGAACATCTTCATGACAGGAGAAAAGAGGTAAGTGTTTGTATTGAATTGCCGTTTTTAATATTGTCGAGATAACACACAAACACACACACACACATTTTATAAGAGGATCAATTTTTCATAATCAACTGTAACAGCCTTGCATTTTTACGTCCATGCCTGTTTTTTACCATTAGTGTAGTAGAAGTAGTATTGTTACCGCCGCTACTGTTTCGGTAATATGCAAGCATGGGAAGACATGATTCGACAGATTGCGCAGAGGAAACCAATAACAAGAAGTCGATTCCCAGCAAAGCGTTGTGGAGCGCAAAGAACGTAACAAGGCACGTAGGTAGTCCTGATCATCCACTGCATCCAATTCTATCGCCAGACGTCTTAACCTTTTCTAATCACTGGATCTAGATGATTTTGTTCCTAGAGAGTTTGGTCGACTATGCGCAACTCTTCCTCACTTTAAACCAAGTCAACGTTCAGTCACTTGGTCATCCTTCTCACCAAAGTCCTGTGGCGACGGATGAGCGACAAAGTGGCAGGTGTGGGTACACAGGCATCTTGAACACAAGCGGCTCAGGCCAAGTGAGTCATTATTCATTTACGCGGAGGAGCAGCGGTGTCCGGCAGCCTTACTGAGCGACTGAGTAGCCCTTTCAGGATTCAAATTGCCCGCCTCCCTGGTATGAGGAAATGGACAGAAATTGTGACCTATAAATTGCCTGCTTCATCTTTTCCTAACTAGCTAACGGCGAATGGCGGAGAGCCTACATCAGCGGTATAAACACTACAAAAAAAGATGAAGATCCTTCCTCTAACAATATGCGCAT